GCGAGGGAGAAGCGCTGGAGCTCCCCGCAGCCTGGAGCAGAGTCAGGGTACACGGGAGCGCTGGGAGCCCAAGAGCCCCGGCATGGCTGAGTGAGAGCCCAGAGAAGGGGGAGCCCCAGAAGCCCAAGGTCGGAAGAGCAGAGAGGGGGGACCCTAGGGATTCCTGGGATCCTTGACAGCCTGGAGAGGGTGGGGACCCCGGAGAGGAGAACCCTCAATACAGACAGGATCCCCAGAAAGTCCAAAGTGGAGAGACCAGAGAGGGTGGACTCCTGGTGGGGTTTTTTTGGGATGATCATGTGCCATTCAAGTCTTGAGGATCTCAATCTTGCTATTGAGGGTCTCAATCTTGTGAGAGGTTTTTCAGCTAAATCTTCGTGGTCTGAAGGTTTTTATGGACACAAAATGTCCGGTGACTTCTAGAGATGAGCTTGGGCAGGAGGAATCCCCAGCTCTCATAGCTTATTTTCCCCCAAACCAGGATTTTCCATTTCCAAACCTCAGCCCAATGGAGGAGGAGGAGGCCATGAGGAAGAGGAAGAAGACCCGAAAGCCCCATGCAGGTGAGGAGGAAGTCAGTGCCCCTTTCCCCCTCTCTCCTGCTCCATCTCCCAGCCCAGCATGGCCCCCAGCTGCAGGACAACCCCACTGGTGACACCATCCGGCTGGGAACGGACTGGGGGGATCTCCTTGCCTTTCCCTTTGCAAAGGAGGCAAATCCCATTGCTCGGAATGTGGGAAGAGCTTCAGGATGAGCTCCCACCTGACCTTCCACATGGGAATTCACACCGGGGAGGGGCCCTACGAGTGTGATAAACGCAGGAAGAGGTTTCAGACCACCTCCCATCTCCTCCAGCACCAGTGCACTCACACAGAGAGGCCCCATGAGTGTCCCAGTTGTGGGAAGAGCCTCAGTTTGTGCTCCAGTCTGACTGCCCACCAGAGGATCCACACCGGGGAGAGGCCCTACAAGTGACACAAGTGTGGGAAGAGCTTCCCCAGGAGCTCTCACTTGACCCAACACCAACAGAGCGACCACTAAGAGAAGCCCTGAAAGTGCCCCGAGTGTGGGAAGAGTTCCGTGTGCTGCTCCAGCTCCATTCCCCATGGGAGGATCTGCTCTGGATGATCCCCAGTGACCCCAGTGGGCAGAGCCTCGGTGATCCATGGTGCCTGTGATCCCTGTTGGGAAGACACCTGGCTGGGGGCTCCACATGCTCCTGGCTCCCCATGGACTGGGATTTCTTTTCATTTCCCTTTGTCCTTTCAAGACACCCAAAATCAGAGTAAAAATAAAGACATTTAACTAAGACATGGATGGGAACATGGGGGGATCTTGCAGGGGATGTGGGGGACGCTGGGTCCAAGGGAGTTGAGGGTTCCTGGGAAGGACTTGGGGGTTGCTCAGGGCTTTGGGCACCCCAGACTGAGTGGCCCTGGATGTGCTAGGAGATCCTGGTGGGACAGCTGGGAGACCGGGGGAAGCTGATCAAGAACCTCCTGCCCTGGAACTGTGCCCATGTTCCCCCATCCCACTTCCCACTCTCCTCTGTCCAGGACCCCCTGTCCCTGCTATCACCCCCCTTGCTCCCTGCCCATTCTCGTGTCACTCCACGCCTGGGCCCATCCTGCTCTCACCGAAGTCCGCACTCCATTCCCAGTCTCATTCCCTGTCCCTCTCCTGTATTCCCTGTCTGGTTGCTCTTTCCATATTCCCAGTCCCATATTCCCTGTCCTCATCCCGTTCTCGTATTCCCGGTCCCACTGCTGGTCCCGTATTTTTATTTCCATATTCCCGGTCCCGTTCCCGTATATCGATTCCAGATCCTAATCCCGCTCCCTCTGCCGTATGCCCACTTCCATTCCCGGTCCTACTCCCGGTCCATCTTCCTATTCCTGGTCCCCATTCCCGCTCCCTGTCCCCATTCCAATATTCCCTGTCCCCATTCCCATCCCCATTCCTGGTCCCAGTCCCCATTCCCAGTCCCCATTCCCTGTCCCCATTCCCGCTCCCTGTCCCCTCTCACCGCACACCGCCGCCAACGCTCCGGCCCTTCCCCCGGCCCTGACGTCACCTATCAAACCCCGCCCTGCTGCTGCCCACCAATCCCAGCGGGCGATCTCTCTCCTGTATTTGCATAACCACGCCCTTCGATTTGGCCCCGCCCTCCTTCGGCTGCAGCCCCGTCCGGGCGCTGTTCGCTCCCAGTTCCCTCCCAGCGCTCCCAGTAAGAGCGGCACTGGCAGGGAAAGCGCTCCCAGTTCCTGCCCGCTGCTCTCAGGATCGTTCCCAGTGTTCCCAGTATCGCTCCCAGTTCCGCGCTGGGCGGGGCCGCTTTGCGAACCCCCCAGGGCAGAGCGCGGCTGCTTTTGTGTGTCGGCACCGCCCGGGCCGGGCTGGGAGCGGAGCAGGAGCGGGAGGAAGAGGCGGGGCAGAGAAAGAGGAAAGGGAAGAATAGGAGCCGGAACTGGAGAAAGAGGAGGAGGAGGAAGCGCAGCAGCAGCACCAACACCACGCGGTTCCCCCGCTCCGGCCGCAGCTCCCCCGATTCCCCACCGTGGCTCCCTGTCACCCCTCTGTGTGTCCCTGTCAGCCCTCTGTGTGTCCCTGTCACCCGTCTGTGTGTCCCTGTCAGCCCTCTGGGTGTCCCTGTCCTCCCTGTGACTTGCTGTCCCCATCTCCCCTGTGTGTCCCTGCACCCTTCGTGTGTCCCACCCCCAGTGGGGCCAAAGTCCCCGAGGTCCTGGCCCATGTCCCACCGGGTGTCCCCACATCCCTCAAGGTGTCTCCGTGTCCCTCAGGATGTTCCTGTGGCTGTTCCTGGCACTGATTGTCTGTGCTTGCCCTGTGGCAGGTAGGGACATGCCACAACACCCTGTGACACCAGATGACATCCTGCGACACCCTTTGTCCTCTGATTTTGGATCCTTTCCCCCCACTTTGCAACCTTTCCCCGTTTTGGATCCTTTCCCCCTCTTCTTCATCCCTTCTCCCTGTTTTGTGTCTTTTCCTCCCTATTTTGGATCCTTTCTCTGTCGTTTGAGTCCTTTCCCTGCTTTGGGTCCTTCCCCCCTATTTTGGGTCTGTTCCCTCCTATTTTGGATCCTTTCCCTCTTTTCCATCCTTCTCCCCAATTCTGGGCATCCTCCCCTTTGACTTTGGAAAATTTTTGGATATACCCTGCATGGATCCCAGCAGGACACTGGTCTGGACAGCCCCTGGCCCTGCAGCCCCCCAGCCTGGCCAGCCTGGCCCAGATGCCCACCAACCTGGCCACAGCCTGGCCCATCCCCTGTCCCACCAGCCCATCCCAGTAACCCCAACCCCAAAACCCCCAAAATAAACCCAATTCCTAAACACCGGCTCTGGTTGGTCCCTGCAGGGGAAAGGGGGAAACTGAGGCACGGGTTGGGAGGATGACTTTGTGGTGATGGCAGGGGACTTTGGGACCCACCCTGGAGACCCCAAAATGAGCACCCACCCCTCAAATTGTCACCGCAGCATCCCGGGACCCCCAGCCATCACATCAGGAGGACTCCAGGAGCCACTGTGACCCTGCAGTCCCTTTGAGGGGTGACCCACGGTGTCCCCCCGGTGTCACCGGCACGTCCCCAGCGGGAGCAGCAGCATCACCCCCCGGGGCAGAGGCAAAGGAGGAGGAGGAGGTGAGGATGGGGAGAGTGCAGAGTCACAGCATCCTCGGGGGGGTGGAAGTGGTGGCGGAGACCCCAAAAATGTGGTCAAGCCCCCTTCTGTAGGATGTGGGCCACCCCTCTCTTTTTGGGGCGCTGGTGGCAAACTGGCAGGTGGCGGTGACAAAAAGCACAGGTGCCACCTTGGGGTGGCACAGAGAGGGGGTCCTGCAGTGCCACCAAGCCCCCCTCACTGAGGGGATGACAAAGGGGGAATCAGGGGGGTCTCCAGGGTCTGGGGGAGGGAGGGGAAGCATGGCAGGGGCACAAAAGAAACAACTCCGGTTCTGCCTGTGCCCCAGACACAGGGGTGGCAGGGCACCTGTCCCCTGTCAGCCTGTCACTCTGTCACCCTGTTGCTGGCATGGGTAAGGACTGAGGGGCTGGCACGTGTCCCCACTGGGTGGGGACCACTAGATGGACAGAAGAACCCATAAAATTGGGGTGGTCACCCAAAAAATTGGGACACCTGGATGGTTAGATTTGGGAGCCCAAAGATTGGGGACCCCTAAAGTGGGGATGCCATGTTGGCTGTGCCCACCCCACCATGCCCAAATCCAGCCCCAAAATTACTCCCTCCATCCCACCACCCCCAAATCGAGCCCCAGGACCCCCCGAAATTACTCTCCCCATCTCACCACCCTCAAATCCACCCCCTGAACCCCAAACTCTACTCCTGCCCCCCGCTTACAACTGATGGAGGTGGAAGCTCCCCTGGGCATCCCCAATCCCCCCACCCTACACGTGGCACACTGAGACTGCTGCTACCCCCGGCGGGGACCCCGAAAGGGGTGGGGGTCCTGGGGAGGCAGCACTGGGCTCCTACAGCCACCCCAACACCGACGGCGACAGCGGAGACGGCGGGTGTCCCCAAGGCCAGCGCACGCTGGTCGCTGTTCCAGAGGGCATTTTCCACCCCTTCCAAGGCACCCGAGGGGACGAGGCCACCCCTGCAGCGGCACCTGCACATTGCCACATTTCTCTTCACAGGGAAAAAAAAGCAAGGCACGATTCTTCCCAAGAGTATTTCTGGGATTCACGTTCTCCGAGCATCAGAGAAAGAAAACACAACTCTTACCGCTTGCTGCGCCTGTGCTGTGCCAAAGCAGTGAGGATGTTTTGTTTCCTTGGCCTGTTGGGGCCAAGCGTGTGTGTGTGTGTTGGACTGTGACGAGACAGGAGAGAATCAGAGATGGGTGCAGTTCTGTGCAGTTGTGAGCACACGGCAGATTCAGTTAGATGCAATGCGTATGATATAGTATAATAAAGTAATTAATTAGCCTTCTGATGAGCTGGAGTCAGATGCATCATTTTCTCTCCTCACCAAGGTCGGAGTTGCCCTTGTTTCGACGCCTGCGCTCCGAGGACAGGAGGAGGGGACACGGCAAAAGTGGCACCAGGGCAGAGCTGGGGGTGCAGGATTGGGCAGGTGAGTGGGGTACGGTGAGGGGAGACTGGGGGAATTTTGGGGTGATGGGTGGGGGGTGATGAGGATGGTTTGGGGGGTGATGGGTTATGGGGTGATGATGGCGGGTGATGAATTTTGGGGTCATAGATGGGGGATGATGAGGATGGTTTGGGGGTCATAGTTTGGGGGTGATGCCTTCTGGGTGATGATGGTGGGTGGGGGATGATGATGAAGATGGGTGGGAGGTGATGGATTTTGGGGTGACGGTGATGGGTGGGGGATGATGAGGATAGTTTGGGTGTCATGGTTTGGGGGGTGATGATTTTTGGGGGGTGGGGTTGGTAGTGCTGGCCTGACACAGCCCCCGGGGGTGCCCGGTCTCCCCTGTCCCAAGGGGCTGTTTCTGGCTGTCCCCGTGCTGGGGCTGCCACTGAAGGTGGCACTGGGCCAGGCCTTGTGGCACTGCTTCTTGTCCCAAGACAGACTCGGTGCTGGGACCACTTCCCTGGGGACCCTGCTCCAGTGCTCAAACCCCCTCTAGGTGAAAAACTTTCTCCTAATATCCAACCTAAACCTCCCCTGACTCAGCTCCAGCCGTTCCCTGCAGTCCTGTCCCTGCTCATGAGAGTGAAGAGATTGGAGCTGGCCCCTGCATTGTCCCTCGGGAAGATGCTGAAGAGCTCAGTGAGGAGTCACCCAGACCCTTCCCCATCCTTGTGACCCCCTCTGGACACCCTGCAATGGCTTTTTGTCTTTCCTACATTGTGGCATTGCCCAAGGTGAGGCCACCGCAGTGTTCAGGGGTGGTGATGGACACAACCTTCCCCGAGAGCATCTTGTGGAAGGGGTAGGAGTCACCCTAGCACCAGCACACACACACACACACACAAACTCAAACACACACAGAGCAGATCAGCAGTGAAGACACAGCAGGGTCCAGGCACAGAGTTCCAACAAGGAACTAGAATTGGAATTAGAATCCAACGCTGAAGGAGTCCAGGGCCCAAAGACTAAGACAAAGGAGGGTCCAGGGTATAAATACAGGGAAAGAGGGGGCAGAGAAGAGCATCAGGGACCTGTAGCTATGATATTTTATTAAAAATCCTTTCTTAGGATTTTTCCCCTCCTGAGGAGCTGGGAGCCTCGGGAAAGAAATGTAAATAATAACTATTTGCTGCTGTGGAATGCAACAGGGGCATCTTCCATTGGTCCATGTGGATTGTTTTCAATTGATGACCAATCTCAGCCACCTGTGCTGAGGCTGTGAGCAGTCACAAGATTTTGTTATGCATTCTATTCTATTCTTGTTCTTTGTAGCCTTCTGATTATCTTTTCTCTCTGTTCCTTTAGTATAGTTTTTATGTAATATTTTAATATAATATATAAAATAATAAATCAATATTCTGAAATAGAATCAAACCTTGTGTCTCCACACATGGGGCGATTGCCTCAACAGGGATCCAACAGTCTGAGGACTCAGGGGTGGTACAGGGGGAAGGGACTAATAGGAAATGCCAGGGTGGATGGGCAGGGTTACACAAACCAACGGGAAGGCAGGGAAGGGAGAACTCACTAGAACATGAAGATATAAGGGTAAAAGAGGCAGGGAAGGCCAACGGGGAGGACAGAACTGGGACAAACTAACATAGTGCTGCAGAGCACCATGGGGAAGCTTCTTTCCTCACCCTGAGTTATGAGGAATGCCCGGAGCCTAAGGTGCATCTCTCCAGGGGATCAGTGCTGCCCTCTCCCCAGCAGGCTCCAGGGTCTCCACACCCCAGTGCAGGGTGGACAATCCCCTCCCTGGCCTGGCTGCTGATGCTGGGCCATGCCCCCAGGACACGGTGGCAGTTTGGACTGCCAGGGAACTGCTGACTCGTGTTCAACTTGCCCTTGGCCAGGACCCCCAGGTCCCTCCCCGCAGCTGCTCCGCAGCCTCTCCTTCCCCAGTCCGTACTCCATTGCCCAAGGTGAGGCCACCGCAGTGTTCAGGGGTGGTGATGGACACAACCTTCCCCGAGAGCATCTTGTGGAAGGGGTAGGAGTCACGAGAGCACCAGCACACACACACACACAAACTCAAACACACACAGAGCAGATCAGCAGTGAAGACACAGCAGGGTCCAGGCACAGAGTTCCAACAAGGAACTAGAATTGGAATTAGAATCCAACGCTGAAGGAGTCCAGGGCCCAAAGACTAAGACAAAGGAGGGTCCAGGGTATAAATACAGGGAAAGAGGGGGCAGAGAAGAGCATCAGGGACCTGTAGCTATGATATTTTATTAAAAATCCTTTCTTAGGATTTTTCCCCTCCTGAGGAGCTGGGAGCCTCAGGAAAGAAATGTAAACAATAATTATCTGCTGCTGTGGAATGCAACAGGGGCATCTTCCATTGGTCCATGTGGATTGTTTTCAATTGATGACCAATCTCAGCCACCTGTGCTGAGGCTGTGAGCAGTCACAAGATTTTGTTATGCATTCTATTCTATTCTTGTTCTTTGTAGCCTTCTGATTATCTTTTCTCTCTGTTCCTTTAGTATAGTTTTTATGTAATATTTTAATATAATATATAAAATAATAAATCAATATTCTGAAATAGAATCAAACCTTGTGTCTCCACACATGGGGCAATTGCCTCAACAGGGATCCAACAGTCTGAGGGTTCAGGGGTGGTACAGGGGGAAGGGACTAATAGGAAATGCCAGGGTGGATGGGCAGGTTACACAAACCAACGGGAAGGGAGAACTCACTAGAACATGAAGATATAAGGGTAAAAGAGGCAGGGAAGGCCAACGGGGAGGACAGAACTGGGACAAACTAACATAGTGCTGCAGAGCACCATGGGGAAGCTTCTTTCCTCACCCTGAGTTATGAGGAATGCCCGGAGCCTAAGGTGCATCTCTCCAGGGGATCAGTGCTGCCCTCTCCCCAGCAGGCTCCAGGGTCTCCACACCCCAGTGCAGGGTGGACAATCCCCTCCCTGGCCTGGCTGCTGATGCTGGGCCATGCCCCCAGGACACGGTGGCAGTTTGGACTGCCAGGGAACTGCTGACTCGTGTTCAACTTGCCCTTGGCCAGGACCCCCAGGTCCCTCCCCGCAGCTGCTCCGCAGCCTCTCCTTCCCCAGTCCGTACTCCAAGGCAGGGGTGCCCATCCCCGGGGCAGAACCTGACCCTTGCCTTGTTAAACTCCATAACTTTGGTGATTGCCCATCTCTGTTTGGGAGGTCTCTCTGCAGAGCCTCTCTGCCCTCCTGACAGCTCCTCCCAGTTTAGCAAATTTACTGATTATCCCTTCAAGGTCGCAGCCCAGCACCTGAAGAGACAGCAGAATGCCCCTCAACCTCAACGTCTGGCTGTCCTGGGTGATCCTCGCCACGACCACCACTGTGCGGTGTGGAAGGAGCTAACAGTGGGCCTGTTAGCTGAAGGAGCAAGAAGCAAAGAAGTAGCTGATAAGGAGCTGTCTTCAAGGCTGTAACCAAGGAGACCAAGAGAAGTGAGGAAGAGAAGAAAGATAAGAAGAGAACTTTGCAGCTGGATGGAGTATTTTTAGAAAGTTAGTTAAATCACTGTAACTTCACTGCCTCAGCAATTCTTTTCTTCTATATCAAAACTTGCTTCCATCTCTATTCCTTCCTCAGCTTCTACATTCAAAAATCTTTCTGCTAAGCATGAGTATCTGTGAGACTTTCTTGTCAAACTTTCATCCTTCCCAACACCTTCCCTCACACCAGATTTCACTCTAAGTAAAGATTGGAGGAAACAGAACTAATTGGCACGTCATAAGAGAGAATATACAGAATTTGATAGAAATTCTGATTCAAAAATTGATGACTGGGGCAAATCCAGGAGTGTTGTGGCTTCAGTATCATTACCTTGGCTAGCTGCAGCTAAGGCCCTCTGTGAGATTTCTCGCCTGGGGTGCTGGCTTAGCAAGCAGGCCAAGGCAACGTCCACTGCTCTGAGCAATCTGCCAAAAGACAAAGAGATCACCAGGCACGCAACCCTCCAAAACCGGCAGCCATTGACTTCCTCCTGCTAGCCCATGGCCATGGCTGCGAGGACTTCGAGGAACTTTGTTGTTTTAATTTAACATCCCACAGCCTCTCCATCCAGTCTAACATCAGGAAGGTTCAAGACTTAGTGAAGGAGATCAAAATGGAGAAAAAGACTGCAGACTGGATGGACAATCTGTTCGGATATAGGGGCATTCTGGGGTGGGCATCATCCATAAAGAGAAGTTTGTTATGGGTTTTTGCTATCATTTTTACTTATGTTTTCATGTTTTATTAAGTTCATCAGGAGAACTGTGGGAGTTATGGCTCTCTAGAGCGTGCTGTTCATAGACACCAATAATGCGAGATATTTTCACTTTGAGAACAATCAGGTCTCTCACCCTTAGGAGTGAGACTATAAAGCTCGCATCTTCTTGCTAATAAAGGAATTATTCTTTTGCCTTCTGATCCACCCAAAGACTGCAGTTTTTCTTTCTGTCCCTGACTCAACAGCATCACGCTGGGAATGAGGGATCCTGGGAATGAGGGACCCCGGGAATTGAGGAACCCCGGGAATGAGGGACCCTGGGAATGAGGGACCCGGGAATGAGGGATCCCGGGAGTAAGGGACCCGGGAATGAGGGACCCCGGGAAGTGAGGGACCCCGGGAGTGAGGGATCCCGGGAATGAGGGACCCTGGGAGTGAGGGACCCCGGGAATGAGGGACCCGGGAATGAGGAACCCTGGGAGTGAGGGACCCCGGGAGTGAGGGACCCGGGAATGAGGGACCCCGGGAGTGAGGGACCCTGGGAATGAGGGACCCCGGAATGAGGAACCCCGGGAATGAGGGACCCTGGAATTGAGGGACCCGGGAATGAGGGACACCAGGAATGAGGAACCCCGGGAATAAGGGAGACCCCGGGAATGAGGGACCCTGGGAATGAGGGACCCGGGAATGAGGGACCCCAGGAATGGGACGGACGGGACCCAGGTGATCCAGGGGCGATCCCAGGGGGTCCCGCGGGAATTCCCAGGGATTCTCCGCCCCCGCCGCGTCCCTCGGTCACTTTGGCGCCTCCCAAACGGCGGCTCTGGGATCTGCCCAGCGATTGGTGACGTCACGAGAGCCGCTGGCTGCCATTGGCTGCTGCGCGGCGGCGGCGCCAATGGCGAGCAGGGGCGGGGCCGAGGCGGAGCCGCGCGGGGGCTCCAGCGCTGGGTCTGGGGGCGCTCCGGGGACAGCGAGGGGACAGAGGGACCCCGGCACCGGGACCCCCTGAGCTCCCCATTCCCGGGCACGGGGACCCTCCTGAGCCTCTGCTCCCGGGCACGGAGACCCCCTGCTCTCCCTTCTCCGCCACCGGGACCCCCTGCACCCCCTTATCCCGAACCGGGACCCCCGACCCGCCCATTCCCGGGCACCGGGACCCTCGGCAGCCGCTGCCTTCTGGCACTGCGAGCCTCCTGCACCCCTGAACCCCCGTTCTCTTCTCACGGGGCACCCCTGGAACCCCCAGCCTTCTGTGATGGGACCCCTTGAACCTCCGGTGGCCTCCCACGGGACACCCTGAGCCCCCCGGAGCTCCTCTGGCCGAACCCCAAAACCTGGGGCTGCTTCGGCCGCTCCCAGCCCGGGGGGCACCCTGAGCCCCCCGGAGCACAGCGGGGGGATGGAGCCGAGCCACACCTCGAGGAGATTCGCACATTTCATTCTTAGCACCGAGCAGGAGCCGGGGGTCCCCAAAGGCCGGGGGTCCCCCAAAGGCCGGGGGTCCCCAAAGGCCGGGGGTTCCCCCAAAGGCCGGGGGGTCCCCAGAGGTCGGAGAGGTCCCCAAAGGCCGGGGTTCCCCCAAAGTCCGGGGCAGGGGTCTCCGGCCCCCATCCCCCAGAGGTCGGGGGTCCGCAAACGCCGGGGGTCCTCAGAGACCGGGGGTCCCCGCTCCCCGCTCCCCCCCCAGCCAAGCTTTGCACGATCGGGACATTTTAACGAGCGAAGGCGTCGGCGCTCGCTGGCTGCAGACGGCGGAACTGCTGATGAATTAATGAATGAATTAATTAATATCCCGGCCCGCTGTCCCGGGCGCAGCTCTCCCCTCCCGGGCGGCGCTCGGGGCCGTGTCCCGGGCAGGGAGCGCTGTCCCGGGCTGCCCGAGCTGCTGCTGCCGGCTCCCGCGGCCGCGATCTCCTTTTCCCCCGGGAACGCCTCGGCCCCGGCGCTCAGCGCTGCCGATCGCCGCCCGCCGGTGCCGGTGCCGGTGACAACGGCGGTGACAGCGCGCGCGCGGACCCGACCCGCGCCCCGCGCACGCACCCCGGCCTGGCCCGGAGGGGTCCCCAAAACCCCCCGGTCCCTGTCACTGCTGGGGGCCTCTGTCCCCCCAGTGCTCCCAGTGCCGGGGGTCCCGAGGGGGTGGTCCCGGGGGTGTCCCCGCCCGGGGATCCCGTACCGGACGCAGGGGTGGCGGGTGTCCCCAGTGTCACCACGATCGGGTGGGTCACGGTGGCAACACCTCAGAGCGACACAGACACCCCCGATGTCCCTGTGCCCCCCGGTGTCCCTGTCCCCCCCGGTGTACCTGTGCCCGGTGTCCCTGTCCCCCCCGGTGTCCCTGTGCCCCCCCTGTATCCCCATGCCCCCCCAGACACAGGTGGTGGCTCCAAGAACTGGTGTCACCTTTATTGATTCCTGTCCGTGACCATCCCCACGGTGGCCTTGACCCCGTGGTGGCCCTGACCAACCCCGTGGTGGCCCTGACTGTCCCCATGGCGACCCTGACTGTCCCCATGGCGACCCTGGCCACCCCCTCCATGGCCCTGGCTCTCCTCTGGTCCCTTTGGTGGCCCTGGTCACCTCTGTGGTGGCCGCAGTGGCCATCATGGTGCTGGTGGCCCCTTGGTGGCCGTGGCTGTCCCTTGGCTCTTCCTGTGGTGGCCCTGTCCATCCTGGTGGTAGCCCTTGGTGGCCCTGGCTGTCCCCTGACTCCCTGTGGTGGCCCTTGGTGCCCCTTTGGTGGCTCCGGCCACCTCCTGGCTCTTCCTGTGCTGGCCCCAGTGTGGTGGCCTCGTGGTGGCCCTCTGGCCATCCCCATGATGGCCCTGTGGTGACCGTCTGGTGTCCCTGGGTGACCCTTGATGGCCCTGGCCGTCTCCTTGGTGGCCACAGTGACCCTGTGGTGGCCCTGGGTGACCCCACGTGGCCCCAGTAGCCCATGATGGCCCTTGGTGGCCCCGCGTCCCCTCCGGCTCCGGTTTCGTTGGTTTGACGCACTCGACCCAAAGTTGGTTTGGCAGAATTTGGGGGGGCTTGGTGGCCACAGTGACCCTGTGGTGGCCCTGGGTGACCCCACGTGGCCCCAGTAGCCCATGATGGCCCTTGGTGGCCCCGCGTCCCCTCCGGCTCCGGTTTCGTTGGTTTGACGCACTCGACCCAAAGTTGGTTTGGCAGAATTTGGGGGGGCCCTGGGGG